GCTCTTGCTCCATCAGGCTCTCCCCCAGTTTCCCATGCAGTTTCTGTCACTTCATCTTTGCCTATAAATGCAATGTTCTTTCTTGGCTTGCTGGTTTGGTCTTTTGTGTAAGTGTAATACAGATTTTGTGGTAACGGTTGCTGGGAAGGGAAAAAACAAAAGAAAAGAAGAAGTAGTGGTGAAGAGTTTCGATTATTGAAACTAGTGGTTTCCACTTTATGTTTGTAAACTAATTGTAGTTAGTTTTATAGAGTGGTTTAATATGATGTTAGGTAAATGCAGGGTGAACATTACTTGGTTACTCAAAGATGAGTATGAATTTTTACTCAAAAATTCTTAGTATTTGAATCACAAAGCGTTGTGCATATAATCAAAACCGTTCATATAATCAATCACACTGTAAAGATCATCTTTGCAAAAAATGAATTAAAAATAAGGTTGTTTAGTCAATCTATTCTAGCAAATATATAAATGGTTCGTAATACTTTTACCAATTCCGTTCATTTGTTTTTATACAGTTCGATGATTAAACAATCTTAGTTTTAATTGATTTTTAGCAGAGCAGATCTTTATAGGGTGATTTATATTATGAACGATTCCGATTATAAACACGAAGTTCTATAAATTGGTAAGGAACAATTTTAAGTAGGAGTTCCTACTTATCCTTTGAGTAGCCAAGTATTGTTCAATGCAGGTTGTGGAATTGTTAATTTTTTCATGGATTATGATTAGGATTATTGTATCCAAAAGAGTTTTTAGAAAAAACTAAAAGCTGTAATTTTCTGCATGTATTGAAGTTCTCATGCATGATTCATGTAATCTCTGCCTTTTACCTTCCTCTCAAAACATAATTACTTTTCAATTATTGTTCTTAGGTAGCAATATCACTGAGAAAATGGTTTTCTTACCCTTCTTTTCTTTTTATGCACAATCTTATTATTTGAGTTTCTTATTCTCATTTTATTTATTGAATTAAAATTTAAAACGAAAAAAAATAAACACGAGCAAGAAAATGATGAGCGGAAATCACTTCCCCTATCATTATAGTAAATAGTCTTGTTATATTAGAATATTGTCAAAGATGTTGATAGTCTTGATATTGCATAAATAAAGTATCAATATGTTATTCTATTATCAGTGTTGTCGATATGATAACAGTAAGTTGTGTTATTCGATAAAATTACTACAGTAAGGCTTCGTTTCATAGAAAGGATTAGCTTAATGATTATTCGCTCTATTAAGGGTTGGTTTGGTATTGCTGTGCTTTGAAAAAAAACTGCTTCTGATGTGCTGTGAAATAAAGCAGCAGAGTGTTTAGTAAACTTTTTTGTAAAAGTGCTTTTGAAAAAAAAAAAAAAAAAAAAAAAACAGTCTTATTGTGTTTGGTAAACTTTTATGTAAAACAGATATGAAAAAAAGCCGGTTTTTCAAAGCTGGGTTTTGCAGCTTCTTGTTTTTGGCTTTTTTCACCCAAAACTGTGAAAAAAAGCTGAAGCTGAATGTTTACCAAACACAAAAACAACTCCCAGCTTTTTTTTATACCAGCTTTTTTCAGAATCACCTCACTACCAAACCAGGCCTAAAGGTATTAATTTAAAGGAAGAAATAAAGGGCAAATTCCTTATTTTGTCCGAGTTGAAGGTTATTCATGAAGAATATAATTGTTCCTTTTTTCATGAGTAATCTCCAACTTGGGCAAAATAAGAAATCCATTTCTTTCTTTAAAATAAATTAATATAGTGAATAGTCCTACCCAAGCTAATCCTCTCTATCAAACAAGGTCTAACAATGCTATCTTAGAGTTCTTCGCTTATCATTTATATCAATATTACTTGAATATAAAAGACAATAATTCGGCTACAGGCAACGATGTATAAGTTTATAACTTAACTACCCAATATTTATTGTGTGCGGATTTAAACTCAAATTGTATGACTATTTTTCCATTGATAGTAAATATGTAATTACCTACATAATTAGGATTGGTTCTAAAAATCGCAGGGGGTGGCGATGGATGGGGGGGGGGGGGGTGGAATTCGATTGTGGCACTTCAAATACTTTTTTAGGGTATACTTGCATTTTTACTGAAGATTGGTTCTAGAAAGTACTCGCATTAAAAGCATTTTTAGTGATTTTAAATATACTTACGAACGAGCCCTCATATGTTGTAGGGCAGCCACATCAGTAAATATTTGAGTTTTCATGAATTACTTTGGGTGGGGGAGGGGGGGGAGAAGCATCGCCACTGCAGACACCCTAACAGTGGTCCGCCCCTGCTCCTTTTGATCGGAGAGTAGAAGGGCGGCGATGGGGATGGTGATGGAGAGGGGGGAGAGGAAGTTGGTTGTAGCGTTAGATTTTCTTTACGGAAAGTATAAACAAAAATGTTCAATCATAATAGTTGGGCTACATGCATGCATGGCATTGGTTCTTCTGATACATGTAAATGCTAAAGATATGTGCAAATCTTGTTAAATCTCTGAATACTTTTACAAGGCTACTCTTGCAATAGGCCAAATTGGGCCTACAAATTGCCATCCTATAGATCATCCACCAGAAATTTTAGTGTTTCCAAACAATGAATCTGTTTTAAGCCCAAAATCTTAGGGCTTCCAACAATATGAAGCCAACTAGGCCTTCATTTATTGGTGTTGAAAACAAAAGGGAAGAAAAGGAAAGTGTTGAGAGTGGGATTTGAACCCACGCCCTTTCGGACCAGAACCTTAATCTGGCGCCTTAGACCAACTCGGCCATCTCAACACTTGACGAAAGGATTTTGAACAATTCTTTATATATAAATCCGACATAGTTGTTGCTTACAGGATCGTGTAGACCTTGCTTGATTAGATACTTTTGAGTACGACGGTCATATTACGTGTCACTAATTTTTATGATATGATATGAGTAGACGACATGAATGATATGTTATGAATTTACAATATTATGGTGAACTGCCAATTTAGTTCCTGAATTATCACCTCTGTGAAAATTAGGTCCCTCAATTATTTTTTTCGGTAAAATAAGTTCCCTAAATTCATTAAAAATTGCTAATTTCATCCCTACTATTACATTCAAAGCTATTTTATTCAATTTTTCATCAACTTAAGTCACTTGACACACTTTAGAGTGTAATACCGTCATTTTCTCGCCTATAAGCCCTTAACATTTCATATAGGTTGCGAATCTAATGTCTAATTTACCCTCCGAAGTTAACTTACATTATTTCTTATGAAAATTTACCAATTTATCCTCCAAAGTCAACTCCATACACTATTTCTTTATGAAAAACTACCAATCTACCCTCTAATGTGTATGTCATGCAAGTAACGTGACTTAAATTGATGGAAAATTGAATATAGTAGCTTCGAATATAATTTTAGGGATGTAATTGTCAGATTTTTATAATTCAATGACTGATTTTCTAAAGAAAAAAATAGTTTAAAGATCTAATTTTTACTGAGATGATAATTTATGGATTAAATTGACAGTTCATCCTAATAAATAAATCACATATTATAACATAAATGAATTGTAATCGTCGTAATACCTAGACGATCATTGAAAAGTTGTCAAGGACATTGAGCTAAAATCTTGACTGTAAACGCAAAATGATGTGCAAATAATAATTAAATAACTCATATTACTCGTCAGAAAAATTGTCAATTTGTTGCATATGTTTTATTCGTGCGAATTTCTAATCATGTAAATATGTCGTGTCTGAAATTCACCCACGCCGCTACCGCACCGTATTGATATTAATCCAACAGCAAATGGAAGCTGCACTTTCAAAAAGGGCGCAAATAAAGAGAAACCACATGCTGTACTAAGCTGTCTGTCAGTAACTTCCAATGTGCTTCCAAAATACCACAGCCCATCATTCTACTTTCTGCACAGATGCTCTCTTTCTTCGCCATCAATAAACCAGTTATTTTCTCAAATCTACCGGCGACCGGAATCAAAGCATGCTTAACGGTCAGAAAAGCAGATCCATGATCGGAATATTATACACAACAAATCCAAAGATTTTGAACCACCACAGCAACTGGAATGGAATCAGAATCATTCAGTCATCATTGTTTGATCATTAGCTGACCCCGAGAAACCGAAGTTTGATGCGTGTGCTGAAACTTTACTATTTTTTGGGAAGTATGAGGGGTATATATAATTTATGTGCATGTGTTAGACTGTAACTTACAACTAAATACCGATGATATGTATACGTGTCAGGTTTACAATTTGCAATGTTCTAAAAGCCAGTAAACAAGTTTCCCCAAAAAAAAAAAAAAATTGCCAGTAAACAAAGAGTACAAACTTACTCATTTGTAGTCATCACATAGCATGCAACTATGAACTGTCGTTCAGTTACTGCTGCAAAGTCTCGTGACAAGGCTTAAAACCCTAATAACAGATTCACGGACTCAGGCAGCAGAAAAATGTAAAGTCTTTAAAGGCAAAAAAGATAGACACCTCATCCTCATGCTGTACAGAAAGAAAATCACAAATCAAGCCTTGTCCTTTAGCAAAACATGCAGAGCTGTATTACCATAGCCAGCTTCCGATTATATTTGGCACTTTGTGTTCTGTCCCCACTATGTAATTATTATATAATTAACATTTGAATACAGTCATAATCCGTCTATGCATGTGTTATAATACGAGTGGATGCCAATCGATGTTACATCTTAAAAATCAACCTTATTGTCGACGAAGGACATCCTAACAAAAACTTGGGTAAGGTGCTCTCATAAAGGAACGGATCTTACTGTATTTCTGTATCATCTAATTTCATAATGTACACAACCTCACTCTTTGTGAGAATGGTGTAACTAACACCTAAAGTTAATTGTTCTTTATTATTCAAGACGTAAATTGGTTATACTACGTGACAATATTCCATTATCACATAATAATATTTCTGTCCCCACCACCACTTTCTCACAACACCCTTTTAAGCCTTACACTCTCCCCCAACTCCTTTACTCTTTCTTTCCATCCCCTCTCTCTCATCCCCAAAAAAATACATTTATTGAAGCTCCATACTACTCTTGTGAACTTGATCAATCATAACATCATTAATGGCTTCCTTTTGGACATCATTCTTGGCAATCTTCATACTTTCCATGGCTTCTCACTCCTCACTAGCCTTACAATCCCAGCCAGAAACACAGTTTTCAAGCATATCAGCTGCACCAGCATTTCTTCCAGGTGCTCCTCTATCTTCCTCTCCAACCCTTTCTCCTGATATCTCTCCGTTGTTTCCATCTCCTGGTGGTGTGCCTCTCTCTCCATCTAAGTCTTCTCTTCCCACCATCCCTGCGAGTCCGAGCCCACCGAACCCGGAGGTCAATGTTGCTCCTGGACCAGACCAGGCTCTTGCTCCATCAGGCTCTCTCCCAGTTTCCTATGCAGTTTCTGTCACTTCATCTCTGCCTATAAATGTAATGTTCTTTCTTGGCTTGCTGGCTTGGTCTTTTGTGTATGTGTAATGCAGATTTTGGGGTAACTGGGAAGGAAAACAAAAAAGAGAAGAAATGGTGGTGGAGAGATTAAATTATTGTAACTAGTGGTTTCCACTTTATGTTTGTAAACTATTTTAGTTTTATAGAGTGATTTAGTGCGAGTTAATTTTGTCATGGATTGTGATTAGGTATCTAAAAGAGTTAAAAAAATAAAAAGTTGCAATTTTCTATCATGTGTATTGAAGTTCTCATGATTTATGTCATTACCTTCCTCTCAAAACATAATTACTCTTCAATTATTGTTGTTAATTATTGTTCTTAAGTAGGAATATCATTGAGAAAATGGCTTTCACATACTTCTTTTTCCTTTTATGCACAATCTTATTATTTGAGCTCCTTACTTTCTCTTTTATTTATTTAATCAAATTGACAAAAATAAATTCGAGAAGGAAAAAGGTGAATGGAAATTACTTTCCCTGTTATTGGAGTAGATATTCTTGTTATACGAGAATGTTGTCAAAGATGTTGATATTCTTGATATTGCAACATTCTAGTATAACAAGACTATTTACTCTAGTGACAGGGAAAGTAATTTTCACTCACCTTTTTTCTCCTCGAATTTATTTATGTCAATTTGATATATCAATATGTTTTTTTTTTATTGCCGGTGTCTTCTATCTGCTAAAGTAAGTAGTGCTATTTGAGAAAATATCTACAATAAAGCCTCGTTTGATAGAAAGAATTGGCTTGGATATGACTATTTGCTATATTAAAGGCATTTTAAAAGAAGAAACGGATGGCAAATCCACACGCCCCTTTCACACTCCTCTTTCAATTTTCCGCCGTTGGATCGAATAAATTGAAGGTTACTCATGAAAAACAATTGTCCCTTTCAATCCTACCATTTTCGTGCGGATTAGTAATATATTCTCTTCATGAGTAACCTTCAACATGGACAAAATAAGAAATTTGTTATCCATTTGTTCCCCTAAAATGCCTTCAATATAGTGAATAGTCCTACCCAAGCCAATCATCTCTACTAAACGAGGGCTAATAGTGCTATATGAGAGTTCTTCCTTTATGATTTATATCAATATTACTTGAATAAAAGACAATGATTCAGCTACAGGCAATTCAATTAACACAAGAAGAATAATAACAATAATTGAAAAGTAATTACAAAGAAAAACTTAAGAGAATTGCTAATTGGATTAAATTAGAGGGGAGAGCCCCCGTTATATTGGCACATCTATCTAAACTGTGTACTACAAATTATATACAAACTGCAAACATGTAAAACACAACATCTAGAGTGCAACAATTTTTCCATGAGACTTTGGAGACCTGTTAAACAAATTCCTCAAAAATGTCCCGGTGAATTTGTTGAGCGCGAAGGGACTCGAATTATTCGGCGATTCTCTGGCAAAACACTTCTTTCTTAGCTCCACATCTCCTCTTTGAGCATATCCACTGCTAAACTCAACTGTCTTATGACCTCTCTCTTCACTTCATCTTTCTGCTGCAGTTCATCCTTCTGAGTTCTGTGGTCTTCCTCGAGCCTCGCTATCGTTTCCCTCAATTTCCTCACCTCGTCTTCGCTAACCCTGCTCAATGCATTCTCTTTTGTTTCTTCATCAACTCGGGGTTCATCCTCCGGTTCAGGATCATCAACTTCAGACTCGGAATACTCCTCTCATGTTCATCACAGGTTTCGGAGTGGCTATCGAAGCTCAAATCCACAACGCTCATCGACTTCTCAGAGTAACATTTGGTTGAAGAGAATGGAGACCCTATCGTTGTCAGCAAGCGTGTTCCGGAATCAGACTTCACTTGATCATACCGCTCAGCCAATGAACGGTGAATGCGATAGAATTTTTCCACAATGCTGAGCAGCTTCGGCCGCTTTTTGTATTACATCTCTGCACATTGAGCAAATGAATCTGGTTCTTCCTGAATCAGCCTTAGCATGGCCTCTCTGCCATTGAAAAAAATAAACATCCATCAATTTTCTCCAAAAGAAAACATCTGGTGAAGTGAATAGTTCATATGAACAAATTGGTAAACGCTACAATTTCACTTAGAATTATGGACACACTGATAGATTTACATTGGGTGTTGCAGATGTGTGTTAGGTTAGTTACTTAAGACGGTGTTTGCCCTCTTGTACCAGAGTTCGGACCCTCCCTCCCCTTAAATTAAAATAGTTTAAGATACAATATAGTCCTGTAAAATAGAAATAAGAATATGCATTATGTGCCTAATAAGGTTCTTTTGGAAATAACTAGATTCAAGTGGGTCCAAAACATAAGGAAGCCATACATATAAACAGAGCACATAAAGTCTACAGAGAAAAACCATTCTGGAAGGGTAAATAGAAAAAACAGAATTTAACAATTTTCTGTGGAGTACAGTAACAGCAGCGAGGATCACCATTAGGATCCAGTATTGTACTGGATCTAATCATCAAAACCGTGACTTTACATATGACCTAAGAACTAAAGTCACATGATGATAAGATATAGTACATCTCTTGGTGTGTGAAATCCAGGGTTAATTTCCCCACCCCTATCCCATCTAGTTCCTCCTGGTCTACCATTCCATCATGTGTAATGGTACCCCTCCACCCTGCAGTAATTTTAGTGTGATCGTTACACCCTCACGTGATGTTGCTCATTTGAGCTATGGTTATAGCATGTGTTTCTAGTTCCTAGTCTACCACTCCGTCGTGTGTAGGATCCCTCCACCTGAGAGACTTTGCTGCCCCTGTTTCATACACCTCGTTTCCTATTTCAGGTCACGGTGTATGAAACTAGAGCAGGTACATTATTCTGCCTCCGTCCTGCTCTGAGCAAGGGATCAAGAGGTCCATACTAATGAAGGAGAACAAACTCACATGTTTTTGTTTTAAAAAAAAAAAAAAAAAAAAAAACCCAACTGGGTAATCAATTTCCAATGTCACCAACCATTCTACCAACCTTATTCACTCAAATTGCATAAAAGTTTCATACTTTATAAGGTCCCCCTACTCCCCCACCTCAATTATTAAAAAACCAAGCACCAGACTTCGAAATTTCAGAAGTTTAGAACTATGTCAACGGTCACAACTTAGTACAGATAAAAATTGGTACCAGAGAGAGTGGTTTGAAGCCATGGGGAGCGTTTGGAGATGCTGTGACTGTCGTACAACCGCCAGTGTGTCATCTGCTGCCTCGTCATTTCTTCGCACCTTTTTCTACCTTTCAAGTTCAAAACTTTACACACTCAAATTTCACAGCTTTCATTAACAAGAGAAATTATCTACACTCAAACGCTATGTAGCGGTATCTTAAACTAATCATATATAAATAAACATGTGTCGTAACTTTTTCGCTTAACCAGCATGATTGATTTGGCAGAGGTTTTGTATAGATGGCTTTGGGAGAGGTTTTGTCTGAGAGTTTGAGAGGCATAAGTTTGTATACATGAGAGCACTTTGAGTTTGTGGGTTCTCCTGTATTCGTTGGAATTCAATAAAGCTTCCGTTGTTAGAGAGGTGTTCCTATATTGAATGAACTCTAAATTCATGTGTTGTGTATTTCTTTATTGCTTCATTGTTTGGTTTGGTTTTTACAACACCAAACACTATGCCTTCAACGGGCTCCTTCCGCCCACTGTTTGACAAAAAATGGAAAGTTTCACCTGCAACCAACCAACCAAACAAAAATCTTATGAAGGGGGTCTGCAAATGCAAAGATATCTATATGTATAAGAATCAGTAGTGTTCATTTTAGACATAAAAATGACATATTTGTTGACCCTCTAAAAGCATATGTTATGTCAAAAATAATATTCATGAAAACACACAAAATTGACCTCTATTAGAGAATGTCAGTAACGAGGTTAGCTTTGTATGTCTAAATAGCTTGGTACTCTACAAAAGGACTTCTATGTTAAATTGTTAAAAGCAGACAATCACTCTTGCATAGAGGTCTTAACGTTTTGTTTGCATCAAAAGAACATAATCAAAAAGTTAATATTGCGAGAAGATTGTGCCTGCGAGAATGGTACGGATGGCAGAGCTGCTCATGTACGTAATGTCCTGGGAGCAGAAATCCCCGACACATTGGCCTGGTTTGCAAAGAGGATGGCGACCGCAAGGGAGAGGCTGATAAGATTTGGACTGGCTGCTAGGGTAAGGAGGTGCCTTGGTACGAAAGCATTCGTTTCGAGGCTTTTGACAATCCTCACAGAGATTCCATAAGAGGCTGCTCCCAGTGTCAATGTACAAGTAGTATGATTTGAATGGACCCGTAGGAAAAGCCGCATTGAAAGTGCCAAGGCCAACCTGTATAATGTAAGTTGCAATAAGCTCAAATTGGAGCTTCGGACGGATCAAATCGTTGGTCCTCGTTTGATTTGTATTAATATTTGTGTCGAGGGTCGATGCAGTGATGAAATTGAGTTGCGGATTAAATAGTATATGAAAAATTTTAATAGCCATGGTTGGTAGGCTATTAAGTTTTATCATATACAATTAATATTTGTTAAGTCTCTTAAAACTTTTATTGAAAAATTATATACTTTTCCATATGAGTAGTTTTTTCCTTTGCTTAAAAATTTCCTTTTTTTGCAGTTTTTTCCTTGTTTAAATTTCCTTATTAAGGTTTATCACATAAGAAAATATCACGTACTTTTCCGTATTAGCATAGCAATTATACCATGCATATAGTTTTTCCTTTTCTATAAATACATATAAGATGTATGCATGTCTTTGAAAACGTGCATGTATTGCAATACCGGTTTTGAGGGAGGAGGATTCTCTCCCATCATAATTTCTTTCTCATTTTCTCATCTTTTATTTGAACGATTTTGATTAAGTCACGTCAACATGCATCTCTTCCTATCTTTTTCTTTGGTAATAATATTATTGGTTTGTTCTACCATGTGGCATTTTCATACCAAAGTAATTTCGTACTGCAAATAGGATAACAAATTCTAATCTAATCACAAATGTAGGGAAACTTTGTCACTAACTAGCTAGTAGGCGGACACCCTTACGGAATTCTTTTTTAATATTCTTGCTAAAGATGTAAAAATTATAATTAGATTATAACAAAGTCTTATCCTTTCGACAAAAAAAAAAAATGATGATAGAATGTTAAAAATGTACATATTTTTTGAGTCAACCTAGCAAAAGTTGTTAAAAAAAAAAAAAAAAAAAACATTTTGCATATGGACACTGACTACAAATTTAGAGAGCAACCATTCATTCATTCTGGTATCATATAATCCTTTATAGACTCTCTTCTCACTCTAAGCGTGTGTATGAGAGTCATCATGCACGAGAGATTTTTCAATTAGCCCGAAATATGGGACAATATGCCATATTATTACGAGTACGTCATGATACGAACTTATTTGAACTACAAGATCAAACCAAATTATAGAGCAAGATTTGATAAGTAATAATCAACAAATTGGAATTCATTTATCAACATATTTTATTATACTTTGCTTCAAGTATTCCTCTACTTGTATGATGACATATGTAGTATGTGTCCGTATTTCGTATTGCTGAACTCTCTTGTCATGCACGTGAGATCAAATCCTCTATTTCCGTCGATTCAAATCATAGCCGTCGATTTTCTGCACATCCCTCTCTTCCAGACTAAGAAATCGTAGCCGTCGACGTAAATCCAACGGCTTTGGTGTTGCTTGGGGGAAATCCTCTGCGAGTCTCTCTTTTACACTAGCACTAGAGCACGGTTTTACTTGACCCCAATCCGCAAATTAGGGTTTCCAATTCGTCCGCCTTCCCCAATTCCTTCATCAATTTCTCAATCTTTTCCAATTCCGCTCAGCAATGATGAATCGACACCCAAAGCACGAAGAAAACAGAGAGAAATTCAACGGCTCGAGATCGAATAGCATGAAGAAGAAGAAAAACATGAGGAGGATGGGCGGGCAAGGGCTTTCACTCGAGGCCTTCGCGAACGCCAAATCGAACAGCAGCTACTTCAACCCAGCTTTGATTAGTATAAAAAGCCGTCTCTTTTCATTTCATTTTGATTATACTCTGTTCAATTTTGCTTCTTTTCTTTCTTCTTTCAATTTTTTAATTTTTATTTGTTTCTGTTTCAATAATTTTCCTGTTTATATGATCTTCTTTAAATTTTATTTAATTTGATTGTTAGGTATGAATTTATGATGATTTTAACGAACTGGGTTCGTTCTGATTTTGTATCAGAGAAGCAGAAAGAATTCTACAAGAATTCCAAGTATGTGAACAAGTATAAGAAGTCACTGAAGCAACAGCAGAGCAATCCTCCATTGGCGATAAGGCGCTTCAAGGTTTGATTTCTTTGGCTTAAGTTTCATTGGATTTTATTTGAACTTAGGGACAAGAATTGTTGTTAAGAAAACCCAATTGAAATCCTGTTGTGAAAACGAAGTTTGGAGTTGATATCTTAAGTCGTTTATTTTTTCGGTGTACAGGAGGAGATTGAAACCAAAGATGGTAAAAAGGAGCGCGAGGCGGAGTATGTTAGTAAGAAGGAGAACGAGAACGAGACTGAATGTGGTAGTGAAATGGAGAACGGAACTGGAGATGATAGTAGAGAGGAGAATGAAACTGGAGGTGGTAGTAAGATGAGTAAGAACAACAAGAAGAAAAACAAGTATGGTGCTCGTAGTATATTGAAAGTGTATGAGATGAAACATGAAGATGAAGAGAAGGCAAGAATGGAGAGGGAGGCGATTATTCAGGCGAAGAAGGAAGAGCGAGAAAAGGCGGAAGCACGAAGGAAGTCTGCTAGAGAGAAGATGCTTAAGAAAACGCGTAAAGGTCAGCCTGTTATGAAGTACAGAATACAGCATCTTCTGGAGACTATTCAAGGTTCTTCAAAGCAAACGTAGTTCGCGAAGATTCAGAGTTCGTTTTGATATTTCGATAGTTGTAATGTTGTTGATTGAATTACAACTCAACTAAGCTTGGTAGGAGCAGTTCCAGTTCCTGGAGCAATGTAAAAACAATTTTGATACCGTTAGGGCAGCGAATCGGTTCTCTACATATTGTTGTTCGAATAGTTCTTTTCATCATTTGCTATGAACGTTTAATTACTTATGTATTGTTTATTTAATAATCTGATGTAGCTGAAGCAGTGCTGGTGCTTATTGATTTCAGTTCCGTTGACAAACATAGGCATGCTACTCATCTAGCTTATATGATACAACTGAACCAGCCATGCACCAAGCGAAACTTCATTTCGGTCATGTTGTCACGCACTAGCACACGCAGATAGACATGAAACGAGCCGGTGTTCGATCACGAAAGTTGTCAGCGGTTCGGAGGTGGTATGCGGATGAACATGATGAGTATGAGGGGAGTCTAAGGGCTGGTTTGGTATTGCTGTGCTTTGAAAAAAAATTACTTCTGTGCTGTGAGAATAAGCAACTATGAAATAAAGCAGCAAAATGTTTGGTAAACTTTTTTGTAAAAGTGCTTTTGAAAAAAAAAAAAGTAGTATTATAGTGTTTAGTAAACTTTTATGTAAAACAGATGTGAAAAAAAACTGGTTGTTCAAAACTGGGTTTTGCAGCTTCTTGTTTTTGGCTTTTTTTCATCCAAAACTGTGAAAAAAAGTTAAAGCTGAATGTTTACCAAACACAAAAATAGCTTTCAGCTTTTTTTTATACCAATTTCTTTTAGAATCATCTCAGTACCAAACCACGCTGACTCCAAACCTGCAGCAATGGCAAAAGCTGCGCGAAGCTCCTCGGTATCCATACAACTTGGTCCCCAAAAGCTACTTTTGAGTTTAGAGTCCAAAACGTCTTGTGGTCATTGAGTCCAAACCTATTGGGCTCCAATTTGAGAGCAACCAATTTGAAGCCCATACATTAGTCTTCATTTGTTTTCTTTTTCTTTTGAGTTGGGAGAGACATACGTGGGGGTTACCATATCGGTTAGAGTTGTGCTATCTCTTACACACCTGAGTTTGGAATCTCTCACACACCTGATCCGAATCCGATATTTAGCGTACTCGGATTCCACAATAATTTACTTTCGTCCTTTTTTTTATAATGTTATTCACACCCCTTTTTACCTCCCAAACACCCTTATTAAGTTTTGTCAATTGATCTTCTTAAATTCATTCATTCAACTCGACGGCCAGAAATTGAAAAGAATGTGTGAGAGGATTTGAGTTGTAGATTGCAGGTGCAGTAAATAATTTTGGTAGAAACTTTAAAATCACTAGGCAAAGCCACAGACTGAAAGCCTGAAGCATTGCAACTTTCCATCATCATACTACCAACAATTACTTTGTTAGGGTTGGTTGGTGGTGAAATAGTAAAATCAGAGGGGCAGAGAGTGATGAAATCTCCAAAAGAATTATGGTTTTAAAAAAAAAATCTAATGAAAAGGGTTTGAAAACTTTAAGTTTTAACGATAAGGACAAAATAAAGCGTAAAGTGAATAGTATCAGGATTAACTTTTTAGTGTAAAAATATGATTTTCTGTTAAAATGAATTTCGTTAAAGTTTCCAAAAAAATTAAAAAAGGGACGAGAATAAAAATGATGATCGTCAGTCAATACCCTCAAACGTGCGGCCATCATCATCCAATAAAAATGTCTGGCAAATTTGATTGCCCCACATTCACGCACTCATCTCACTCATTCACCAACGTTTTCTGGTTTTTTTTCTTCTTTTTTGGCAAAGTATGATTTTTGGTCAAGGGTGTTTTGATGAAGTTTCACTTTAGTCTCTATGTTTTTATTGTTATAAACCGTTATGATTCAAGGATAATGACGTAAGTTTGTCAGTTTTTTCTATGAAAAATGAGCAGCGTATAGAGGACTAGACGAGAAGTGTTAAAATCACCCTTTATCTTAATTAGTGATTCTAACTAAGGGAAAATGATGCTTGTCGGATCCTTTTTTTGGGAATCCCAAGAATCTCGTGATTGTGACTGTTTATCGTACATCATGCTGTCAGAAATCATTTTAAATTTAAAATTAAATATAAATAGTACCTAACGAAAACTGACCGCTCGATGTACGATGAACAGTCACGATCACTGAATCCTCCGGATCCCCAAAGCCTAGGCTAGCTTGAGCCATGAGGTTTCGTGAAACCAACAGTTGAGCATTGAGCACAACAAACTCTAAAGGGTTTATATTTGGATACCTGAAGGCCACTAGCAGTTACTTTTTAAAGGCCTTTATGCAAAATGTATTATTATATGTATTCATTGTATTCTTACACAAACAAGAGGTCATTTTCGTCAACTTCGTAACAAAATTACTATACTCGGTCTGGTCCGTTTCATTTTAAAACCAATCTAATCTAGTCCCTCCAAATTTGGATCGGCTCGACCCGTGCCAACCCCTATTGAAATGCGTTGTGTGATGGAAATGCAGAAGACAAGCAATATCATCAGTTGTGCCTTTTATTTTTGGGTTTTTATCACAAATGGTCCTTGAAATTGATCATCTCCATCAAGATGTTCCTAAAATTGAAAATCAATAAATGTAGTCCCTGAAAATAGGTGTCGCAAATCAATGTGGTCCTTCCGTCACAATTTTGTTAAAAATTCTACACCAAAATGGTCTCTGAAATTGACCCGCAATAGTCTCTGAAATTAAAAATTGATCAATGTAGCCCCGCAAATAAGTGTCTCAAACCAATGTACTCCTTCCATCATAATTTTATCAAAAATTCTATTATATGTTGATGTGACACATAAATAGGTCACTCAAATCTAATTAAATTAAAGAAATTACAAATAGACTTAATAATTTAATAGTTAATAAAAAAATTGGAAAAAAGAGAGAACTTCATAGTGCAAAAAGATAAATAAGCTTACAATTAGGCCCTCCTATAAGGAAAAAAAATATATCATAATGCAAAAAGATATATATATATATATATATTTGGGGATCATAGTGCAAAAAGATATTTAGACAATTTTTTTTAATTAATTATTAAACTCACATCAATACATAACAAAAAAAATTATAGAATTGTGGCGAAATGATCATATTGATTTGCGACACCTATTTTCAAAGACCATATAGATAGATTTTCAATTTCAGGGACCATCCTGATAGTGTGGGTTAATTTCAGGAACCATCTTGATGGTGTGAATCAATTTAAGGGATCATTTGTGATAAAAACCCATAAATCTTGTGGGATCCATTTATGTGTCACATCAGCACTTAACAGAATTTTTAATAGAATTGTGACGAAAGGATCACATTGAGTTGCGAAACTTATTTTCAGGGACTACATTGATTAATTTTCAATTTCAGGGATCATCTTGATGGTGAGATCAATTTCAGGAAGCATTTCTGATAAAAACCCTTTATTTAAAAAAAAAATTATTATTAAGAGGCGGGGAAGGATTTAAAACTGTAAATAATAATTTAAGATGGAGGAGTTTTGAGTCGGAATGCATAGATAGAAACTCAACACCCTATCCACTAAGATATATGTATATATATATTTTAGAACATCGATATTTTTACACTAAAAAGATGAGGAGTTTGAATAAACCACTAAGATATTAGACCACGTGTATCCATTATGCCTTCTATAACTTTGCAACGTTTATTAACTACTTTGTTTAATTTGTTTTCTTTCACAAAAACCCTTTTTAGCATCGATGCGGTCGTTGAGGAAAATTAAACGAAGAAAAAGGTTCAGAGGTGGTATGCGGATGAACATGATGCCTATGAAATGAGTCTAAGAAGGCTCGTTGCTGGTTGCAAACTTGCAATGGTAAAACTTCGATTTTTTCAATTTCGATTTGGTGTTCAGTGTGTGTGTGTGTGTGTGTATTTTTTTTCGATTTTCCAAACCCATCCCTACCTTAAAGTCCAAAACTCCTTTTGGTCAATGAGTCCAAAACTTTTGGGCTCTACTTCAAAGTCCTAGTTTAGAGCAACCAATTTGAAGCCCATACATTAAACTTCATTATGTTTCTTTTTCCGAGTTTTGAGTTGAGAGATGCACACGTGGGGGTAGCTACATCAGTTAGAGATGTTGTGCTACCTCTTATACATCTTAATTTTGGAACGGGATCATCTTCAAATCCCTTCCTCCTAATCCACCAAATCAGGGAATTTATGTCCTTGAAATTTGATCTAATGGCTACAAACAGGGGTCCGCTTTAAAGTTATAATAATTTCAAGCCGTTGGATCAATTTTCAATGGCACGAATTCCTTGATTTGATGAATTAGGGAAAACTCATCGCAATATGAATTAATACAAAGTAGAAATTTATTGCAAATACGAGCGTAACAAAATTAGTTAGAATGAAGGTGCTTCTTCTATGAACTCAAATTCAGCAGTTTACATTAATTTAAAATACTGATAAACGAAAATACAGCTAGGGATCATCATTCGGCCTGTGAAGTGGGTCGGCTAGAACCCCACGTCCCAAAACCCAAACTGTTTTACTTCGATTTGACCTGATTCGAATCCGAAATCTAGCATACTTAGATTCCACGATAATTTACCTTCCATCTTTTCCAATTTTTTTTTTTTTTTTTTTAACCTCTCCACCTGGGTCTCCTGATTTACTTTTTTGGGCAGCAAAGGCTCAGAGTTGTACATTGCAGGTGCAGTAAATAATTTTGGTACAAACTTTAAAATCCCTGGGTCCAACCACATACTGAAAGCCTGATGCATTGCAACTTTAACTTAGGGCATTTTACAACTTTACATCATCATACAACCAACACTTACTTTGATGGATATCATGATAAGTTGGCTGGGGGTGACACAGTAAAGTTAGAGGGGCAGAGAGTGACGAAATCACCATCGATGGGATTGAGATTGCTCCGGATATATATGTTCGGAACACTCAATTTCAACCATGCAGCTCTTCTTAGCTCATTTCACTAATTCGTTTTACAAAAATTTAAAAACTTAAAAAGACCCAATTTTTTTTTTCCTCTCTCTTAAACAGCCAGAGAGATCAAGAGTTGATCTCATTACACTTAGTTTGTTGGTGTGAAACAGGTAAAATCAGAGGGGCAGAGAGTGATGAAACCACCAAAAGAATTATGGTAATAAAAAAAAGAAAAGAGGAGAATAAAAATGATGATCATCAATGC